TCTTTAACTGTTTGCATGTTCGCGAATAAGTTTAGGCCGTTCCGCTTTGCGTTTTCCGTTTCCAACTTGTCGTTATAAACGAAAATGCAATTCCCAAGAGACAGTTGAGAGGCAGAAAACGTGATCGCTGGTGCGAAACTTTTACTCGCCTGACGTTCCGGATTTACACTAGAATCTACCATCAGAGGCAGTCCCAGATCAGGGTACTGAATGCACAGGGACTGCAGTATTAATCGGGTATGCTAATGCATAATTAACCAACGTACCTGCCACCATATTCATTGCAGCAAGTTATGCGCTCTGCACTTTCCAGCTGAGGACAAGCATGCCTACGTGTGTGTTGCTAAGAGGATGCCACCTGGCGCCCACAACAGTTTGCTGCAGATAATGGTCACATTGTATAGACGAAGTCACCTTTAATACATGTACAATGCTACTCAAATAGAAACATCACATCTTCCAGATTTTTCCAGTTCCACATTTTTCTTAGACCCTAAAGTTACGTTTTCTCTTAGTGTCAAGTTTGAAGAATCCCTAGCATGCTGCAAAGGAGGAGGTTTTGTGCATAACTCCTGTAACCTATATTTGGATTTAGAAGGGCATTCAACGTCACTGAAATAATGCATACTGCTTAAGGAGTTATTTTTAAAGATTCCCGATTTCGTAGATGTATCGGAAAAACGTACGTTCAAAAGCCAGCAGGTGTATGAAACAACTTTTGATAACGTTGCATTCCAGTCGGTATTACAGCACTATCCAAGTAACCCTTTCTTACTGAAATTGTCTTTTGAAACTTTTTTCATAATCTATGGGTTCGATCGCTTATTTTGCAGTCCGAGTAGAACTATTAATTCCACTCTCTTACACTGAGAGTGACCTGGTGGTTAGTAATTTTTCCCTTCCACTAACGGATTCTCAATGATACACTCCTACGCGTGTAGCAAATCTGCGAGTGACGCTTCTTCGATCTGAACGTCACGCCTCTTTTGCCTGAATTTCTTTCACTCCACTCCGTGTGCTGTAGAAGTTAGTATTAAGTCTAATTTAATCATTTCAGGCTGGTTCTCCTACCTTTCTACATGTTTCTTCTTTTTCATTTGATTAGTCACCAATCCTTCAGCCAACCGACGGTATCTAGGTGAAAACGCGGACCCTTCTCTGAAGCCAAGCGTTAATCAATTTGTTACTACTCCTGACAATCGAGTAATTATCGCATGCGGCTACTTTGACGGTTCAGTTCGTGTATTTTCAGTTGATAGCGGTAAGGCGCTTGGTATTCCTGCCTCCTTTTATGCTCTTAAACCTGCCCGTGTTGCATTTCCGGGGTATTGCTTACAGTATTGATTAAACAATTATGTGGTAGCCTCCCACACCTATCAAAAAGATTGTAAGTCATTAGAATTCTTCATTCTTGCCTGAGATGCCTCCTATAATCACAGTCGTCAGGGGAAAGCAAATAAAATATACGCTGCTCTCTGAGTAAACGTGCTTCAGTTCATAGTGGTTAACTGAGCGTCATTGTTGGGCCGGTTGAGGAGTTTTCAGATGTAATTATTTGGGTTGGTGAAGAAGCTCTTCGCCTCCGTGGGACTCGAGTAAATACCTCTTCATTTCCTTATTGGGTTGCTTATTTACCGTCGTGATATGACCTAGAACCCAATTGGCTGTGTATGGTAGTTTACGACATCTTCCCTAC